GCGCTGCTGCCGCTGCGTGCGGGCAGCGCGGTCACGACCGACCCTTGCCGGCCGTCCGGCAACTTCTCTCGAAAAATTCAACACCAAAGGACATGAACTGACTTAAAATAATCAATTATGCCAACTGAACTAAAAAGCAATTATTTTACACAAAAAGCTACACATGGCCGTGGCGTGCGCACCGTGCGCCGCCTACGACGTTAAGCCGTCTCGCGACTGAACTTGCCTTTCTCTCGGCATCTGACATATAACTAAACTTGATATGATATTTACTGAACAAAATAACATGAAATGCTCGAGGGACTATTCTTAACATACTCGCTACACATGTAGGGCCCGTGGTGCGCGCTACATGCGCGACCACGCCCTTTGGCCGAATCACCGAACCAACATGAAAATACCTCGAACAATATAAGCTGACTGAACATGGCAAATCATGAAATGACTAAATACATGACAATAGCTAGAGAGATTACAATCAAAACATGAACATGCTCGATGGGTACACGCACGACCGCAAGTAACAGTTGGCTACCATAGGAACTCTATTATCAAAGTATAACTGAACGTGATACTACTGTTAACCTCACAAGAAGGGAATTGAAAATACCTCTCCGCTTGCTCGCCTAATTGCACAACGCTCGACCACTCAAGCTTCCGTGCGCGTGCGATGCTCTCGGCGTGCGGTGTGCGGTGTGCGTGCTATAAGCTTTGCGGTAGGTACTAATTTGAAGAAATCTTACAACTCTCTTAATCTCTATACTTAGGCTGATGAAGGGAAAAATTTTCTCCCCAACTTAACCTTTTATATATGCTTGACCGAAAGAAATAGAGAAGTGAGGTGTTGCTTTGATGGCTTAATGAGCTTATGACATTTGCAACTTAACTAAGGCCTAAATTGCTTACTCACCTCCTAAAAGGATTAGTCACCACTTAGGCTTTTATATTATGCCATCTCATGCTTCTTAAAAATGAAACTTTATCCCTAAATTCTCCCACTAAATTTGCTCACGGCAAAAAGAAAATAAAGGGGAAAAATACTCCTCTTGCTACGACACTAATCATTTACACATGATTAATTATTCATTAATCATAACTTTATGCTTAATTAATTATTAAGCATAATACTTAATTACCAAAATTATTCCAAACGTAAACGGAACGTCGAAAATAATTTCGGGTAATCTCGACTGAAATAATTAATTCGAACTATAATAATTTCGAATTCTTAACTTGAATGATTAATCAGAATATTGATATTTCGAATAATTCGTCAACTTGACTTATTAATTCCGAACTCATTAATTAATAAATGAATCGGAATTAAATCTGGAAACTTATTCGGTTACTGAAATAATTAAACCGAATAATTTATCGACTAATAGTCGAAGTTGGAATATAACTTAACTGAATAACTTGAACTTGAACATGAACATGACTATTTATTAACAAAGGTTAGCTTAAAATTAAAAGCTAGTATTTTCCTTTATTAATAAAACTCGGGGTGTTACAATCCACCCTCCTTAAACTATTTCCGTCCTCGGAAATACTAAAACTGAATGAATGAGCTTAACATAAAGCTTATACTTACTGATTACATGACTTGAGAATTCAGTACTTTTAATAACGAACAATAGACTTGATCTGAATTGAAGAATCATCAATTCACAATTAAGTGAATTGTCGATTACTGCTGGCTGAGAATGGACACTTTTCTGAAATAAAGTGTTCCAGTGATTATACATGACCTTAAAAACATAATTCTTGAGCGTACTGGTCCTTATTTCTTGGCTGATTGTTGATCTTCGGTCTGAACATTAGTTGTGGAAAAACTCCAGTCGTTGGTACACACGGAAGATTCCAAAGATACGTATGTGTACAAATGGGGATAACTAGCAATATCGGTAATTACCTTTCGTGAACATCTACTCGATAACGTGGCACATTGTTTGCGGCACATTGTAATGCGGCACACCTGCTCCTCATCAAGTGAGTGCGGCATGCCTGCATACAGCACCTGGCGAACATTGCACCTGCGTCGTCGACGTAGTCTGTGTAACTGATCATATCTGTACCTCAAGCTAGTAACCTCAATGTACTATAATGCTAACTCTCTGTAATCTCCCAGTGTACTGTGACTCAGGCATGGCATCCTTCTCTTCTTGTGACATGCATCCTTGAATAGAAAGCCTCAGTTTGTCTTCACGGCGTTGTTTATTGTTGTTGATTGGCCCTTCTCCGTTGTACCTGCAAATCTTTACCTTCCCTGAGGTTTAACATAACCTCAAGAAAAGTCTATCATGAATTAATATCTCCTATGATTTCTCAAATTTTTCAAAATTTGAGAATCGAGGCACTGATTATTCTTGAAATGACTGATACGTCTTGTCTTATTAGACAAACTATCTTTGACTTTGGCATAACTAGCCTTAATATTCTCATAACTGGATAACCATGACTTGACTTTTACATGACTGAATCATATTTACCTGAACTCTGAAAATTAACCCGAGACAACTAAATAGTCGCCTCGAAATTTGGAACATGACATTTACTGATTTACTTGACTTGATAAGGTGCGACTTCAAGTTTCCAGGTAGAATTGGATTAATAGTCTGTATTGCAGACCTCCATATTTAACCAGGCTGAACAACTATTATACGTCAACCTTAAATCATGAACATTAACTTTAAATCTTGAACATTGACTCATGACAATGTACTGTATAGGGCTGTTCCAGTATCAACTGGTCCCGCAAGTACAAAGGAATTAGCTGATCTTAATC